TTAGATACACACACAAAAAAGTAATATAGTTTATAAAAAACAATGGCTTTGATGAAGGAAGCGGCATTTGTTGGTTATATGTGTACGCTTGTGATTGCCCCCGTAGGAAGTGACGTCATTGTATTTCAACTATATTTTTTGTTTATTGCTCTGTAAACATATTGACGTTTAGATCTCAGTCATTTAAACAAAGCTGTGTGTTTTAGAAATATTTTTTCTGCCTATAATGATGATGCCAGCTGTCGTGGCTATGTATAATCATTGTGTTTGTAAAACAATCGGTGGAACTTCCCTGTTATCTTACAGGTGATAGAAAACACATGGAAGCCATAAGATAAGGGGCGTCTTTGGTTTTAGTATGTTATCTTTTTTATTTAGTTAATATTTTTTCTCATCGCATTTGTCGTTTTCCAAGGGAAGATGTAATTCACAAACAACAAAATGTATGACTTCGAGGGATTTGTGACATAGCTTCCCTTAACAATATTCTTGAAATATATAGAGGATATTTTGTTTATGTTGTCAAAGAACATGTATATTTTATCGAGTGGTATGACAAAGTTGATATGTTCACGTGTGGCGCAGCTGGATTCGAATCTGGATTCCCATCTGATAATCTGACAATGAATCGAAACTGGATTCGACATACAGCTGTTATGTTATATTCGCATAGAGAGACGAACGAGGAAAAGCTGCTTTAGTATTTGACTCTATGAGAGTGTAATCAGTATTTTATGCCTCTCAAAGAATCTAGAAGAAATGACGTCTTAAATCTAATTTTAGTGTCCACAAAACAATTCATCTAAGCAAACAGATGTTTAAATCTATCCCTACCATAAATGGACTAATGTGCCATCTAATTATATTATAGCAGGTAGATAATCGTGCAGCATACTCAAGATGTCAATACAGTTTTTGTTCTTTTGGGTCTTTTGGTCTTCATGTCATAACCTCTTCATATATTAATTTAAATTACCCTTCAATCCTTGGTTGCCATGTGAAAACCCCTTCACATTAAAGAAATTATTTAATGTTTGTTTGTTTTTGTTTTTTTCATTCGATGTTCTCTAAAGGTACAGATAAAATATATTATATTATATGTACATATATCTCAAATTATTCACTTGATTGTGTCTATAATCATGTAATACCCTGTACCTTTCAAAAAGAAATAAAGTGATAAAAAAGGAATCCAGCAGTACCACGACTTGGGACATCAGAAATGGTCTGTAAATGGTAAATCCTTTTGTTGAATGACCGTGTGAGGAGAGGCTTGTAACCACTAGACTACCCTACTGCCCCGGCCTGTACACTCCTTGGACTAACGAGAACTGAACATATTTCTGAACATACAGTGGTTCTTATGATGCATTGACACACAACATGGTGAGTTAGGGGATCCGAAGGTCGTTGGTTCGATCCCGACGCGTCATACCCAAAGGCATTGATGATAGTACTTGTTGTCATCCTGCCTGGCGCTGGGCATTATGAGATGAGACACGGACTGGTCGGTTGTTAGAGTGTGTCGTGTTTTACGCCGCTTTTAGCAATATTCCAATATACCGGTATCACGGCTGGGGACACCAGAAATGGGCGTCAACCACTGTAGCTAAGTGCGAAATCAAACCTTCTAGACTATTCGGCAGTCACGAGGCTACCCCATCGCCCAAGTCGGTTGTATGCTGCGCATGACTAGGGGTAAATATACTACCCATCAATAGTTTAGACTCACTTAAAGCACTCACTATATGTTATGTATATATATATATATATATGGTAACATCGAAGATGAATTTCTCCACTTACTTTGGGGAACCAACTGCAAACTTTATGCAGATGAATTGCCGGAGGATTATGCATCAAATTGCTGAAAAGCATGTGCAAATATCGTACATGTGAACAGCTGCGGTTTGGTGTAAAGTTTTGTCAAGAATTCGCCAATTTTCACTGAGTTTCATCTTTTATTGAACTCATGACAATAATCTTTTCAACATTACGAATTTGTTTTGCAATAGCTCAGTTCATGTGTAAACAGTACCTTTAAGCAGTATGGAATATTCTGCAAAGTCTAGTTTAGAACAGTTGACTGAAGTAAGTGGCTACATTTACACTAGTGAGTCTAAACTTTTAATGGGTAGTATATGTTTTAACCGCGGGATGGTATCTCGGTGCGTTAACACAATATTCAAGTACTGTCAGAAATAGAAAAAAAATGTTTTTTAGGCTGTTACTCTGTATCTCTCAAATTTACACAAGTGTAAATAGCATATGTCGATGTTACCCACATCGGCCTGAATTACGGGTTGATACAAGCAGCCACGCACGCACACATAAACATTACCGCACGCCCTCGCGCGCACGCATTTTCATGCACGCCGTTATGTACATGCATTTAGAACCTATGTCAAACCAACCAAGGTTAGACATGGTCCAAAAAGTATGTCAAACAAGGTGTCAAGAACGACCATTGAAATGCTATCGTCGTTCGAGCGGTGTATTGCTGAACGCCTCATCAGGAGCTACTCATCTCCATCGCCGCGACCTCCGACCCCGCATCATATATCTGTACATCATCAACCAGTAAAATTAGCCAAAAGAGCAGACTTTTGAGAAATAAATTATTTCTGTCGTCCAGCCACTTTCAAGTAACCAAACTGCCCGACCGCAAGCTAATAATATTAATTTCTGCATGAATCAAAATTGCGTTACATGCAAACCCTTGACATCTCTCTGCTTTATACAAATATTGTGGCTCCATATGTCTTTCACGGAGCACGATAAACTGAAGTTGTTGATATTTCAATTATTGATGGCGCCTCTGGGAAGAACCTGTCTCTGAGCTCCATGTCACGACAGAAACGATAAAGGACTGCTGTGAGTTCTCCCTGGGTTATCGCGAGCAGGTTTTAGTTTTCAAACACACGAATGATTAACTTGATGTGTATTAGATTGGGGTAGATTGTTTTCATTCACTTTCCGGGGACCAGTGAAAAGATAGAATGTAATTTTATCTCGAACCACGTTGGACAAACTGCTGTGAGTTGTCTCATCGGCTGTCTAAGAAACGTTATAAAAAATTAGTTATTTGGGCTTTAAATACTTTTTTCACCAGTTAATGAAACATCTGCTGTTTGTTTATTTAATTATTAGTTCTTTTTGTGTGTCTCTTTATCTGTGTTCAAAAGAATTTTGTTTGTTTGCTAGTTCAGTAATCGTGTTTATTTGAACCTGTACAGAGGTGTTATCAGATTGAACTCCTTGACGAATTAAAATATCAGATCCAGGCTTTTATAAATATTCTAACACATTTATGTATTTGATAAAGGGTTATAAAGCAATTTTATATCAAACAAGAGTTATCTTAACATATCTTTTGAATTCATCAGAAATGAAGTTAATCGCAAGTCGTTGATGGTGGCGAAAGTGACCGGGTTCTGTCTACTGTATGGATGTACGGCGCTACAACAATTCACCTTGTTACCCTCGACGCATGTTGTGAGCTCCGTACACTTGTCGTGATCTCGACGAGATATAACGAGATTCCTCGCTGCTTTCAAGATGGCACCTACTTATCTTTTAAGGGCGGGGAACATGGAAACTCGATCACGTCCCCCACAGGGGATGTGGGTCCGATATGTTTGAATTATTTCCGCGAACAATTAGATGAGGATCTGCCCCGGGGGGTGTCGGGACAGCAGAGTACAGCCAGGCCTTCAAGGTCGGAAACGTTCCCTTAAACAATGTCCGAAATTTTATTTTGGTTCATTTATTACCTATTTAAAAAATCATCTCACTGATGGTAAAGTACAGTCCCTCGGCCCGCCATCAAGGATAGAATTATTTCCCCTGTCCGTGTCCTTTTGTCATATATATCTTCATCAGAAATGACAAGTGTTTATGGATGACCAACTTCTTTATTGTACAATACCGACGTTCCGGTATAGACACTTATATCGTTTTCATGCTTCAGACCGGTAGAAGTATCTGTACCTAAACGTCGCTATTGTACAATAAAGAGCGAGTGAGTGAGTATGGTTTTACGCCGCTTTTAGCAATATTCCAGCAATATCACGGCGGGGCACACCAGAAATGGGCTTCACATATTGTACCCATGTGGGGAATCGAACCCGATCTTCAGCGTGACGAGCGGACGCTTTAACCACTAGGCTACCCCACCGCCCCCTGTACAGTAAAGAAGTCCATAAAGACGTGTCATTCCTATTACTTACAACTTCTAGAATGCCTCTCAAACAGCATAGTTTCATCTTTGTTTAAATTAAACTTATTATCCTTCCACTCATGTACATGATTCCCATCAAGCATGTCATGTACATGTTCTCCAAACAAGTAAAGCAGCTTCGATAGGATGTAATATTCTCTGAAGTTCGTGAGGCAAGATGAAGAGCGAGTGTTACCACGTGACGTATTGGCCGCTGCTTTACGGTACCTGTAGTACCCAAAGTAAAATAACTTGAGAAAAATCAAAATCCACAAAATTCTTTCAGTTCGTTGCTGCAACACGAACGGCTTCTCCTTGGTTGACTGATAGACTCACGCTCAGTCTCTGCATATATTATTTTACAGAAACAAATTCTTCTTTTTTAAATGAAAGATGCCTTAATGTAATGGAAGATTCAGTACCTGAGGAAATCTAGACTTACTTCATTTAGGATGTTAGCTCTCCAGAAAGGGATGTGGGCGGAAGGGAAAATAGTGCGTTCAAGGACTGTGAGACAGTCTAGTTGACTGAAAGAGTAGGAAGTAACAGCTTTCTGTAATATTCCAGCAATATCACGGCAATGTGGGAGTAATGCAGTGGGGTAGGAATGGACCTCGCAGATTGTACTCATGTTGAATCTCGAAACCGGGTTTTCGTCGAACACTTTAACAATTAGGCAATCCTACCTTATCCATTTGACAGGAACAAATAAAATAACAAAGGATACCGTCGTGAAAATATAATGGAGGAACATTCATAAAGTAGCTGCAGGTATACACAGGTTGTAACGCTAAAATCTGCCATCAAGGTATGTACTGTCATTAACGGGGTCTTAGCACTATGTAAAAGGACGATAGTGCTAAGACCCCGTTAGTGACTGTACATACCTTGATGGGAGATTTTAGAGTCACAAGCCCATGTGCAGCTATAAATGTTAACGTGAACCCTCAGAGTTGTTTTACAATACGTAAATCCGTAAATGAAGAAAATTGGCCTGTGTTCCGCTTCCCGCTCCGGTAACTGATTCATGCGGTGCTGCTTGTGAAGAAACCCCGCCTTCGTGCTGTGGTAGGGTTGTAGAGGAACGGCCTCGAGTGAATCCCCGCGTGCAGTGTGGCCTGCAAGCACACTCGGGGGAACAGAGCGGGTGGCGACATCGTCAAAAAGTGTCGTCTGCTCGATCTTCATTCATTTCTTCACGGTCGCTGAATGCTTGGGTTTATGCACTTTTGTTTGTTCTGTACTTGGATATACTTGGAATGAAAAATTCAATTTGGAAATACTGAAGATATTCAAAGGTGGCTGTTTAACATGGAGACAAGAGGGTTAATTTAGTCCGGATCAAGCTACGTTATGTGGGAAGTATTATAACAGCAATCGCGACCATGGCATCGGACGTATTGGTGTGTCGTCTGGTGGCGATATGTATCGTCTGCTTCACTGTTGTCGTCTGCCAGCCGACGGTTCAGGAGTTCCGGTGGTCGGAGACGTGTAGTCAGACAAGGGACGAAGATTTCAGGGACGCCTTGGATTTTATACTGATAGAACTAAAGCGGCAAAACCACGAAAATCGTCAGTTGAGGTTGGAAGTGGACGACCTGCGTCAGAAGACGACCGAGCAGCGTCACCTGTTGTTGCAGTTGTCGGAGTCGGTGACGTTGTTGGTGCGGAAGCTGGTGACGGAGAACCAGACGTGTGTGTGTGACACTCAAAGCGACGGGCATCTTTCCGTTCTTGAACCCTGGCCACAGGATACCATAGTGATATCAGAGGAAGAGAAGGACACGAAACCTCCACCTGAGACGACATCAACGACTACACCTACGACGACGACAACGACGACAACAACTACAACGACACCCGTCCCAACGTCACCAACACCGGACCCCTTGTTGGCATTGTATGGCGGATATGTTCCTACAGGTACGTAGAGATGATGCGATCTATAGTAATGACAACACTTTTTGTGGAAGTACGTTGAGATATGTTGTATGTGAGACTCAGTGGATAGAGAGAAGAGTGGAAGGTTAGCAGTGACCGAACCCCAAGAGTTTGACAGAGTAGCATATAAAAAGGTAGTCTCTCTCTCTCTCTCTCTCTCTCTCTCTCTCGTTATTGGCATGTTAGCTCTGCAAGTCTGAAGTAGGGACGACATGTAAGCGGTAAATCTGCATATCTGGAAGTGTTCAATCACCGCTGACGTCGAACAGACCTACAGTGTCGACAGAACAGTCACTGCTGAAGCCTTACAAGAGATAAGAAGGTTTTTCGTAAGAGAACAAAGCACCATATCAGATAAGACCAGTTGTTGGTGTTCGTCGTCGCCTCCCGCCAGTTGCGCAGCGTCCGATGGGAGTGATAGCAGATGCATACGAGTCTTTATGGTTCAAAATATTATACAGTTAACAAACATATGGAACTAATGCATCGTACATGATGATAATAATGATGATGATGATGATGATGATGATGATGATGACCATCATCATGCAAGGCATGGTTGTGTTCTTATATGTTGTGATGAATGAATGTTGCCAGCTGTTAGACCATCCGCATTTTAAGGGTTTCTCACATCCAACCTCAACCATATAAAAGAGCGGGAGGGCGAAACGAATAAATAACAACAGTAAAATGTTTTTCAAGAACTGCATAACTTTTCAATTCTAAAATTGTGTCAATAGTCTTTCAATTACTTTATGATGAAGATCGAATCGCTTTGCTACAGCATGTTTTAATATATATAAATGTAGATTAAGGCAGACCAAGATGACATGTTTTTATGAGTGTGCACTGAAGGGGAAAATAATTTTTTATCACATCAGGACATAAATTTTCAAAGCTGCGGGAAAATTGAAAATAGGAAACATTTTATTATTTCTCGTCGAAATGGAAATTCTGGCGGACGGGAGATGGGATACAGGAAAAACTACAGACATCCGTAGCAACACTTCAGCTGAAGACATGTGGTGTGGAGGTTTCAAGATTCTTGAAATGATTAGACTGTTTAAACTGTAGCGTAACTATATCACCACGTAACACAACAGATGTGGTTTTCATGTTGTCAGCCATTACCCGACACATCGCGCACGTCTGGACGCTACAGTGGGGGAGTGAGTTTAGTTTTACGCCGCTTTTAGCAATATTCCAGCAATATCACGGCCGGGGACACCAGAAATGGACTTCACGCACTGTGCCCATGTGGGAAATCGAACCCCTGTCTTCGGCGTGACGAGCGAACGGTTTAACCACTAGGCTACCCCACCGCCCCTCTGGACAGTAGAGGTTTTCTCCGACATTTTTACCATTTCGGAAATACCACGTCGAGAGTAAACTAACAATGGTCTTCATAAAATATAGAGATTCGAAAACTAATTTACGACGTGGTTTATCGCGATTCTTTAACGACTATACCCCTCCGTCCGGTGGTGCAATATACCTGACCATAAATCATTACCTGTTTATGATACAGCTTGTCACCACGTGTATAGTGTATACATACTATCAACATCCTAGCTGCCGCCGGAATCAGCACCGTCCACGACTGCAACACGCCGACTGACACCCTGCCACAACATCTCCGTATGCAGCTGATAAAATGCCCATAGTGTATTTCATTGCTTCACCATCCAGGTCTGACATTCCCAGAAACTCCAGAAAAAGGCCAGGTGATTAATCATTGTAGATCCCGAAACACATTTCATAGTGTGCCGGGTGGTTGTGACATTAACGATTAGGCGATAATGACATCGTTTTCAGATGCAATTACAGTAGCAGCCAGCTAACTTGCGACGTGCCTGAATAGCGGGTTAGGCAAGCATACGGGATAGACAATTTCAGGACGGAGGTGAGGTGAGGTGAAATTGGGTTTAACGTCGTGCTTGAGAATATTTCGCTCACATGACGACGTGCATGCGTGTGTATGTGTATGTGCGGCTGCTTGTACTAGCCCAGACTGAAGCTGGTTTTATAGTGCTAGCCCACTGAGATACCACGCCGCAGTGAAACATGAGTACCCCACACAGACACATTATACTGACTCCGAGCCGACCAGTCCTTGTTGTACCCATTAATGCCGAGCACCAGGCAGGAACCAACAAGTACCATATTTTAACGTCTTTTGGTATGACGCGGTCGGGGATCGAACCCGCGACCTTCCGCTCTCTGGGTGGACGCTCTAACCACTACACCACGGAGGTGGTTATTTTTTCAGGACGGAAGTACAGTTCATTAAGAATCCTCCACTGAAACGAGTGGTCAATGAGTTCAATGCGCCGCATCGCGTTGTGCAGTGTAGCTTCCCTTATCAATACCAGGATCCGCTGCTTGTGGGTTCGGAATCGACCAGATTAAGATCCTTGGTCGGTCAGCGCCATAACATTACTCCTGAGTTTCACCAAAGCGATTTGCATCACTTCCACTTTATCTGGGGTGATGGGGTAGCCAAGTGGTTAAAGGGTCCGCTCGTCACGTTGAAGATCCGGGTTCGATTCTCCTCATGGGTACAATGTGTGAAGCCAATTGCTGATGTCTCCCGACGTCATATTGCTGTAATATTGCTAAAAAGAGGCGTTTAACCATACTTACTCACTCAATCTGCTTTATCTCCAAGATGACACGCTGTACAGGTAACTAAGATCTAAACCGAATTTACACCTAACCCACTCACTCACTCATTGTCAGGTTTCAGTGTCTGGTTTCAAATATATTTCTCAAGTCATGCTCTTTCTGTAAGTGGGGAATGTTGATCTACAACATCGGGAACGTTGATCTGCAACTACAAAGAACGTATCAGCATTTCAACAACATTATTACCTGCTCGCTAACAAAGCTAATTTTGCAAATACTGAGACCAAACGTACGTAGAAGTAAGAACGGGCTTATAGACCTATATGCATCCCACGTTTGTACCCCGTACACGTGGAGACTTATATTAACTCCAGATATTCACAATAGTGAATCTGCTTATAATACCCTGCGACAGCCGATTGTACGCTTACTGCCGAACTGATGGAGTATTTACCTGCTTACGATGGAATTTATGGCTGATAAAAATTTGACATGCCGAACTCTGGCATCTTCTTTGTAGTCAAGTCACCCTTCACGTGCAGGCGGAATTTGCAGCGGAAACTCAAACATTCCGCATTTTTGTGTAAATGAGTAAATTCGCTGAACAATGGATTAACCCGAGTCGATGTTTGTATTTTATTTACTGGCTATCTACATCCGCAGGCTCTGAAAAAGACACAATCTCCTAGCGGAGGCGCTCATAATGCGATCCCTGCCAAGATGTTTTTCGTTATTGTTTATGTAGTAAAGGTAGATTGGTATACCAATCTGGCAGGAAGGCTGGAGGGAATGGCGGTTCCAGGTGTGCCAGGATGCGTCTGTTTCTGTGCAGTAATTTCCCTGTTGGGTGTTGCGTTCCCTCCGTGGTTCTCAGAGGTAGCGATCTGAGGTACCGTTGATTAGGCGGGATAGGTGAGTAAGTGAGGTTTGGGATCATGTTCTGTTGTTTGACTGGCGGTCAGATTCTTTCTCAAAAGTCAGGGGGCGGTGGGGTAGCCTTGTGGTTAAAGCCGATAGCCCGGGTTCGATACAATGTGTGAAGCAATATCACAGCACACATTCCTTCTCTAACGATCGTACTCATTCTGAATTTAAAGGGGCGGTGGGATAGCCTAATAGATAAAGCGTTCTCTCATCCGGGTTCGATTCCGAAAATGGGTACAATGTGAGAAGCCAATTTATGGTGTCTCCCTCAGTGATATTGCTGGAATATTGCTAAAAGTGGCGTAAAAGATAAATTTGCTCAGCACAATGTGCCTTTTTGAGGAACTGAACCAGGGTCGTCATCGCGATGAGCGAACAATTCAACGACAGGGTTGATCTTCACCTAGGTATGCTTTATGTAGTAGGGAGTGAGTGAGTTTAGTTTTACGCCGCTTTTAGCAATATCACGGCGGGGGACACCAGAAATGGGCTTCACGCATTGTACCCATGTGGGGAATCGAACCCGGGTCTTCTGCGGGACGAGCGAAAGCTTTAACTACTAGGCTATCCAACCGCCCCTCATGTATTAGGGAAGTCAGTTAACGTGACTCACATGAAAGGCCAAGGAATGAGACACCGTTGTTAACGTAAGGACACCTGGTGTTCAGAAAACATGTTTCGTGTTTTGTAATCGTCACGTGAACTAATGAAACTAATCACTTACAATATAAATTCAAATGAGCATCCCCAGAGGATTGAGGTCATCCAAGCTTGAAATTCATGAGATAGTAAAACTCCACTAAACGCACATTCCTGGGAGAAAACAATAGGGTACTGACCACATGCCGGACACAGCGTGGGATTGTGACCCCTCTTGTGCCGGACACTACGCGATGCGATACTACACCTTTGCCGGACATTTATCAAGTAAACAAATAAACATGAAATCATATATCCTCCTTTGTTATCAAGGGATAAGATTGACAATTTTCATTGTTCGCTATTTTATCATTTTAGAACCAGTTGTATCGGAGATTTCTTAAAGTGGCATTTAGAAGCCGATATAAGGGAGATGAACACTATTTATTGACAGATAAACTTCTTTATTGCAATAATATTGCTAAAAGCTAAACTCAGTCAGTCAGTCTATATTGCAATAGTTCTGACGTTTCGGCGTATACAATAACACGTCATCATTTACAATTAAGAAGTTATCTATCCATAAATAGTGTCCCTCTGTGTCGGAGATGTAAACAATCCGCAGAATGTCCGATGTTACCAACAGGTACGACAATTTAAAACCAAGAGGAGGACTGACCCTGTCGTTTAAGGCACCGCAATTCGTTACGCAGAGTTGCCTCCCTTACGCGCACCAGAATCCTGATCGTTAGTTTAAATCCCAGCTTCGCAGCGTTATGTTTTCATGTTTGTCA